GGGGGCTGGTGGTGTGTGTGTGTCTGGCTCAGTCGTAAAAGTGCAATCGAAGTTTGTATTAAGGTTCACCAATAAAGGCGGGAACTCAGTCGTAAAAGATCGTATTCCATCCTCAACCAAGCAGTGAAATAAAGATCTCCAACGAACACTAGGTATTTTCGACAATGACCGAGTCACGGAGTTCCTCAATCGAATGTTTCACAATGCTCCGATCAACGCATGCATGCGTCGAGATGAATGGTCATCCCATCAACAGGCAGGCACCATAATTCCAAACACAACTTGAACACCATCACATTTCCAACACAATTCATCACATTTCCATCATGATTCGAATTTGATATCGTACATGAAGTCCTGTGTTCAGTTGTTTAACAACTGATTACCAACACACATTTCAACGTGCCCTACGCACTTCAACAGATTATAAACAGATTAAAAAAATTTTACCAACAAAAAATTCAACAGTTTATCCTGTCACTTCATGTGGACAACATAACTCACCAACGTTGGTTTTCATCACTTCCTGTTGACCACGGTGCATGTGCCAGGAAAAACAGTTTATAAACAGTTTTTAAACAGTTCAAAGGGGTTAAGGACCCACGATAAACGTAAAAAAAAAAAAACCGATAATTTTTTTGTTGTGGGTCAACACTTGTTGCCGGTGGGTTTCACAAATCTAAGAGTCTGACGCAGACAACCTCAATCGAAGACTATGCTCTCGGCGTTCGGCTTCGGAACGGGTCCGTCGGATAAACCCCACGACTCGGTAGGAATAATACAGTCGGCACTCAAAGCACGGCCTTCGTGGTTAGTAAGGGGTTATCCCGTTCCAGGGGACAACTTCCACAATATGGTAAGGAAGGAGTTGATAGAAGGGAGGGAACTCAATGGTTATAGTGACGAATCCCGGGGCCGTGACGGACAGATGATCACGCGTACTGGGGCTAACTGGGATTCAGGGATTTTGTCCTATCGCCTGCTGGAAATCCCATGCACACACCATATCGTTTTGTTTTAAGCATGGTCGGGAAAGGCAGGAAGTCCCAACCTCGACTTTCGAGAAAGATGCTCGTTTTCCTAGTATTCTCGGTACTCGGGGTCTCTTAGACAATCGAGGTCAGTCATCCAGAAAGGAAGGCCGATGTCCATCTCTCATGAGGGAATCTGGGTTCATGCATTAGAGGGTTTGCGATGTAGTCTAGTCGGAGGTAGATCATGCGAACACGTATATACGTGGAAACTTACTGAGTCGTTCGTATAGAATCGTATGTACATGCTCACAAGATTTGTCTCCGACAGGCTGGGAGATTGTCCGCCTCGTATTGTTTTTGACAAATCCGAGTTATGCATCCGAGTTATGCATGCATTTATTCCAATCACCACCATCATTCACAATTCAACACTGTCTGAACATCTAATCAAACAACCCACTTCGACATACGGATATGCAAAAAGGAGAGGAGAAGAGGACCATCAAGTGTATGCAACCATGTAATCTCTAGGCTTAGTGATAAGGCATTCACAATTCTTAACACAACCATTCAGCGGATTGAAGCAATGATAACTTTGTACTCTTGTCTTCCTAAAGACGAGAAAAAGGCAAGGGAGGAAGAGACAAATCCATACATCATCAACACGTGCGGGTGAGAAAAAAAAATCCGAGAAGGCCGCAAAAGAATAGCCAAAGCCGAAAGCGAAAATCATATAGAGGGTTCGGATAGAATAACAAGAAACATCACTTCAACACCTCTCTCTCTCTCGCTCTCTCTCTCTCTCTCTTTTTTTTTTTCTTTCTCTCTCTCTCTCTCTCTTTCTCTCTCTCTCTCTCTCTCTCTCTCTCTCTCTCTCTCTCTCTCTCTCTCTCTCTCTCTCCGCGTTCCTTTGATGTGGGCAGCCCGGCGCCTCACACCTATCAACACCCCAAAGTAGTCACCTGCTTAGTCTGAGTCTGCAAGCCAGGTTCGCCCGTGTGCCACAGTCCTTCGTGGCCACACATCAACCCCGCATACTCAGCACCAGCCCGTCGGATTGCCCAACTCCCTACTCACCGTCTTTCTCCCGCTCGTTAGACGATCTCCTCGACCGCGCTAACTCTAAAGTTTAATTAGAGAGCGAATTAGTCGCACTTGCATAATTTACAGTGCTTAGTATCCGCGCGAGATACCCGGGAGTGCGCTGAAGTGGAGGGGAAAAGGAAGTGCCTACAACTGCATGGCTGGGCCGCGATGTGGGGGTCGTAGCCACTCTCCAGGCATCGATCCAGGCATGCATTGTCCTGGCCAATGAGACGAAGAGAAGAGAGGACGCGCGAGACGGTCAAGAAGGGAAGGATTACAGTTACACCTGCGCCTGCCAAGAAGAGATTTCAGTTACACATAGAATTAAGGCGCAGCGGGAACAGAGCGCAGAAAAGAATGCAGCACAGTGCGTGCAATTATAGAGCATCGTACAGTTACAGCTAAAAATCACGATGCCCCCAAATCCCTAGCCTAATTGAAGTCCTAATTGCAAGAAGAATTTCCTATGTAAGTTCAAAATTCATGAAGAAATTTAAAAAAATATTCAAAAAGATTCCCCGCGGGGTGATCCTGCTAAAAATTCTCCGCCGAGTTCCGTCAACCAAAAAKGAAAGAAAAGGCTGCGTTAGCCGTTATTTCTGCGCTTGCTATGGCGCGTCTGTGACGCGCAACCTCACGCCCTGTGCTGTCTTTCGTACGGAGTGTTAGCTATGCGGAAAAGAGGCCCAGAAAAACAGCAAGATGGGGTGTGCCAAGGATTTTTGGAAATTGAATATGGGGATACAGAC